CATATCAAAGTGTGCAGTTAGGTTAATATCTTCAAAGTGAGAAACTACCATATGTACAGATATGAGACACAGAGGCAGTTATATGAGAGGAAAAAGAAGGCAGGAACTGTCCGTATAAGAAGTTCAATTTCTTTGAGGCTTCAAAATGCCAGGCTCTTTTCTTACACACCTAGCACAGATAAAGGCTTTGGGCTCTGGAGTTCACCACCGCCACCATTTCCTTTAAAAGTTCTGTTCAGTATTTCAGTGTGCATGTTTATAATGCTCCTGCAGCTGGGGAGTTACAGACAGGCAGAGAACTCAAGTGCTCAGTCGATTGTCCCTCTGAATTGAATAAATAAACCCCTTATCTCTCGGCCTTCGCCTTTTGTGCGAGGTAAAGAACTTGGCAGCCTGTGAGGCTATGGAAAGGAAAGGGAAGACCTGCAGACAAAGCTATCTCAAAATAAGCCCACTCTGCATTGTAGTCTCTTTTTTTCCCCACACACACACTGCTGTAGCCCTGTGCAAAGTGGAGACCTTGCTAAGCACCAATAAATCGTACGGCAGATTCGAAGAGCCGTGGCACCTCTCAAAGCAGCTGCTGTGTGCTTGGGTAGGGGAGAGGGAAAGAGCTTGAAAGAAAGCTCTGAGCAGGTTACCTGAAGGCAGATTCTCATACCTTTGCTCACAGACAATAGCACTTGACTTCTATGGAAGCCAGCTGCACTTCTTGCTAAGTGAAGTCCAATTCGCTCCGAGCAAGAGGCATAAGGATCTAGGGTTTTAACTTGTTTTATGGTCTATACTGATGTTATCTTGGTTCACTTTTAGTTTTCAAATAGTGCTTTTAACAAAGTAAAAGGCTGAGGTCCACACAACTTTGTAGCAGTTCACAGACTTGTTTTTCATGTAATTACTAACTTGGTCAACAAAAGTTAAAGCTTGATTATCCCTTTTATCAAATAAACCCCAATGAAAATTTAAGAACATTCCTTTCTTGTTGCCTTTTTTTCATAGTCCTAAGAAAAGAAATAAGAGTCTGATATTTTAGTATTCAGTGCATGTTTACCTGTTGCACACTGAAGAAGAAAAACCTTTCTTTTGTAGAAAGGAAAAGAAAATCCTGCTTCCAGAATCACTACTGAGCATATGGAACAGCGGCGAGATCTACCCTTACTACTTGAGGTAGCTTGGCAAAAGATGTAGAATATGTTACTCATTTCTTCAAATAAATAAAGGTCTTTGTTAGAGCATACTAGTGGGTTTTTTAGGACAAATAGAGGTCTCCAAAACTTACCAGCCTGAATAAGCATACATTCCTGAATAGAATGCAAGTGGTAATCTCGTAACGCTGGCATCATTCCCTGCAAATGCATTTTTAAAGTGCTGTGTTTCTCCTGCAACATCAACAAAAACAATATTCAAAATAAGCTCTTTGGTCACCTACTACTTTAAAACAAATAACTATCTCGCACCATGGAACATTTAATCACCCAACAGAGTTCACAGACTTCAAGTTCTGCCCTTGACCTTCATTTCTGACCCAACCCTTGCAGCTGTAATCTGCCAGCAATTGTAAAAGGTTTTGTGGCACCCTGGTCGTGCAACAGCAGAGTTTGACCTATTCATTTTTTCAAGGTATTCTGAGCTTGATGACACTCCCTGCACTGTCCAGCAGTGACTTGCATTGACATGAAGGAGCAGAATGAGCTCTGTAGTTTTTGCTGGGGAAAATTTCACTTGTTTAACATTTTAATCTGAAGGAAAATATTGCTAACATTTCACTCACAAGCAAAAAATTTAAGCTAAACAAACCAAATGTCTAAAACATTTCTACTACTGAAAAATATAGCAACTCCTTACCACATTATAGTCAGTTCTGTATTAATATTACACTAAGGAAGAGTTAGATATCTATAAATGCGAACATCTAAGAGTTATTTTCTGTTCTTATTCAGTTAGGGGGTGTTCTATGGATTGCAAGACTTCCCTACAACATTCAGATTTCCTGAGAAGCAGTGATACTCCACAGGAAAGGAGCAGCAAGCAGCAAAATTCATTCAGACTTAAATTAGTGGTTGGTCACATCCTCTACCCTTCACTCATTTTTTACTGAGTTCTCAGTCAAAATTCCTACCAAAGCAGAGACATTTTCAGGTAAGGGAAGAGCTGTGGACAGAGGAAGGTCCCAGCAGGGAATCAGGGACACTACTGGAGCTGCTCAAGGGCAGCAAACCCCATCCAAACCTGGGTCTGACCTGCTCCAAAGACCTAGGAGAAAAAAAGGGTGGATGGAAACAGAGAGAAATTTTGCACATGAAAGGAGGTGGGGGAGGAGGCATTGCAACTGCCAAAAGGAAGTGAAAAGCCTGAAAACAGAAATAGTGAATCAGCAAAGTGCTACACAGGAAAAGTTTTCTTTCAGAGCTTATTGCTAACCACAGAGAGTTGTCTGTCCCTGAGAAACCAAGCTCACTGCAGAGCCTGATGCTCTGCTGTTGACTCAGATGGGAGGCTTTGTAAAGCATCATAAAAGAGCATCCCCAGGGATGGAGCCAACTACTGTGATCATTTATGTTGGGTAAAATCTGCCACCAATTCATTAAAAAGTGCTCCCCATTCTGACCCTCTGTGCTGAATGGCTCCTGGTGCTTTGTGTGGTTATTGTCTAACACTGTGGTAACAAGGATGAGCTGGGGCTTGTCACCACCTCGCACCCACTGCTGATAGGGCTGTGAGGGAAAAGCCTCATCAGGTAGCTGAAAATATGTCAGTGAGAGGAGTTTCTCTGCCAGCATGGCTTTCCCCAAATGACTTCCAGAAGAGCCAAGTAAAGGCTTGTGTAGCCGTGTCCATGCTAGGTGCTGCTGGGGAGAAGAAAGGTGTGTTTTCACACTCCTACCTCATGCAGCAACATCAATCAAGTCTGTGGAATAATTCTGACCCTCCACTCACCTCTGCTTTCCTTTCCTACACTTCGGTTAGCCCCAGACCATTGCCTTTAACTGTATGGTTTAGTTTCTCACTTGGAAGAAGTAAAGCATTCATGCAGCATGAGTGTAACTCATGTGTAACTACAGCTCCTCTTGCCAGTACGGCACCTTTAACTTCACAGTTTACATCACTATGGTGGTAGAACACCATCCATGATGCTGTTTCTTTCACATATTCCCCAATTCTGAGCCCCCTCTGCCACCACACACCCAGTACCCAACAGGACTATGCACTAGAGCAGTTAGAGGAGATGTTCTGCCTGGACAAGGCGTGTGGTTTTGGGAGAGGTGTGCCCTTCTGTCATTAAAACCCATCCAGCCCCTTTCACAAAGTTCATGCCAAAGGCAAATTGCAGAGAAGAGCAATCCTGTCACTCATTTGAAAAATTAGTCTGATCTGAATTACACTCATTGGCATGCTGAAGGAAATACCAGTTCTTCCCAGTGTAGTTCCACTTCTAATCAATTACATGACAGCACAGGGCTTCAGTTAAGCAAGCACAGACTAATTAAGAGATTTTGCTGCTCTAAGCATTATTTGGTGGAGACAGGTGGAGAATACTGGGGAGGGTAAAGATAAAAGCACTTTAAAAGCATTTACTTTTCATTTCATACCTTTAATTAGCTGGATAACTCCAGGGACTATAATTATCAGAATTGCTACAAGCTTGCAGAAGGTAAGGAAAATCTGAATGCGGGCACTCCAGCTGACACTCGTGCTATTCAGGACCATCACCAGTGCTGCAAAGGGAAAAAGAACAGTCAGAAAGAAACATTCACCCCACTAAAATGGCCACAAAACTTTTTTTGCCAATGGACAGGCCACACAGACAACAGATTAAAGGAAATGCACCCCAATAATCTTCTCCAGATGAAAAATAAAATAAATTTCTCACCTTCCCCTTCCAAATGCTGCATGAAACACTTGAGCTGAGCCCCTGTGTCTGACCTACTGAGCAGCCCATTCATCTGTCCACTCTCTGCCTACCTAGCCAAAATTGGTAGCTGTTGGTATAGGAGGGGCTGGCAGGACCTTGCCCTGGATGAAAGAAATTAATTGCCCAATCTTTGTCACTCTAGATTTCTGTATCAGTGCCAATTTGAGGAGAGATTTGCATTTTAAGAAAAAAAAAATAACAATGAATAATCCTATTGAACTTTTTCACACCCATTTAGGCCCCCCATAAATATCTCACTAACTGCCTTATTTATCCCTGCCCCTCTTTTCCACTTTTTTCCTCCCTTATGTCCCCAAGAGGGACAGAGTGCAAGCAATGTGGGTGTCCTTGTTGGGAACTGGGGAATAAACAGAGACCTTTTACTTCTTGAAAACAAAGCCCAGGTCTGTGCCTCACCAACAAAACCCACTGATTTAACCCAAGTCTTTTATATAGATTCTGTTCCCTGGCAAGCCCAAAACTACATATATAATAAAAAATTCTTCTCAGTTTGAACCACAAGAGAAAATTCCAAGTAATCTGGATTCCAAAGTAATTTTTAATAAGATTTTTTTTTTAATTATCTTCTAGAATTTTTATTTGGCAAAGAGAGAGGCCCGCTCTCAAATGAACAATTCATCCAAGTCAGCATAAAGTCACAGCATCACTTAATGTCAATTCTTCACAAAAAATAAAAAAAAAAAAAAGAAAAATCTTAAAGGTCAAAATGTTTTTCCACTTCTGTATTTTACTGTATCTCAGAAACTAGTCATCCTTTTCTAAGTCACAAAGACATCACTTGGGCTTCTGCAAAGTATCACTTGAGATCCAGACATATTTTTTTGCTCTATTACTTCCATATATACCTATACTTGTCAGGAAACAGAAAATCCCAGGGGCCTGATTCATTCATTACTCTGTTGTCCCAATACTACCCAGATATATCTTTGCTCATTTGTGTGTTAAAAGATCTCTTTAGGATGCTGCTGATTGTGATGACTGAGGCTTCCCCTCTTTTCCTAGGGCTTGATTACTGTCAATGGCTCCAGGACAATTACCAGGAAGATTAACAACTATCAGTTAAGCAAAAGATATTTGATCATCAGTGTTTAAATGATAAAGAAAATCAAGTTCCATAAACAAGCACTGGTTTATTTCAAATTTCCTAGAAAGTTGAAGATATCATACTTTTCTTTCCCAGAATATGAAGCTGAGGCAGAGACCAGCTCATAGGAAAATGTCAAAGAAGAGGTTTATGTGTAAGGAAATATTTGCAATTTGACATGCAGCTTGTTCAGATTTCAAGCTGACTGCAGCAGTTGGCTTGTTACACAGGTCAGGGTAGGTAATGGGAGCACCCTCCCTGCAGAGAGCCCTCCTCCAGGTTTTCTAATGCAGTGCTTTCACCTTCCTGATGCACCCATGAGAATGTCACTGCATGGCAAACTACTGCATACACTAATGTCAGCTCACAGAGAAACTCAGAACCTTCCTTTCTGGCCAGCCACACACAAGTCACCCATCCCAAATCTGTCTGAGCTACACTGGCTTGAAATAAAATAATGCAGGCTGATATTTTCATGAAGATATTTTATAAGCAGGCTGTGTCAAAAGTTTCTCCACCTCCAGCCATGAGTTCAAGGCAGCCAAACATTTCATCTGGATTTCTAATCAAATAGCAAAAGCAAAATGGGCACTGCAAGTACCTTCATTTAGCCAGGAAGCTGAAGGGACACAACATGTCCAGTCAGTGCAGTGCACATGCCATCAGTTTTGGTGGTCCTCTATAGAAGTGGGTTCCCTACAGAGTCGGATTCGAAGATTTGAGACTAATTTGGTGTTTTTTCAATTTTCATTTTATTGGATTTAATAGGCTATAAGAATCTACAGTCTTATAATAATTAGCCTTAGCAGTTCTATGTGTATAACAGATATAGGGATGTGAGGCTTATACCACTATCATATATCAGCACCACAGTCATTGTGATAGCAACTGGGCAGTGAAAAGTAATGCAGAAGAGGAGTCATGAAGGAAGCTCTAAAGCCCAGGAGAAGAATAGGACAACTGTGCCAGGACTCAAGAAGGAAACTCTATCTTGGGACCACGGTCATTATTCAACACTTCTATGAATAGGGCCTCATGGAGACACTTCCAGAAACTGATTGCAGATGCTTTGATGCAGCATCACAGCAAAGATCAGAAGGAAGCGGTGAAAGGAGGACTCACCTCTAACTTTGCTAACTGAAAGTCAGGCATCTATTGTGCCTCCATCCTCAATGAAGAGACAGGAGCCTCCAGAGAATGAGTAATAACCCCTATTATCAGATGCCTATCTCAGATGAGATAAGTTGCCTTCAGGAAGTGTCTCTCTCTTTCTCCAATAACTCTATGGGGAGCAGAGGCTACTACCTTAAACTAAACACCTAACTACAAGTGAGACAAACCCTAACTGCAAGAAGGATGAAGGCAGAACAAATTGGGGTTCATGAACAATCAAACACAACAGTGACACCAATCCTGTTACTTTTCACAATCTCTTTCCTCCACACAGCCACAGCTACAGGTGGATAATGAAACCTAATGGGAGAAGCAGCAGTAAGCATTACACCCTGGCCTCCTTTGCAAGAATA